GAAGCCACGATTTGAATCTCCTGCCGCCAATACTGTGTCCCAATCCAGACGGCTGGGAGAGAGACACGTGAAAGCTCTGAGAGCTGGAATTGGCGAACCAAACGGCGTTGAGAGCGGGACTGGCAGGGAGCCCTGCATCGACCTGCGGTGAGTGAGAGAAATGAGGACCCTTTCATAGACTAGGAGGCTCCAACAGAGGACATTCTAGGAACAAGCAGACTAGCTGGAAAAGGGCCCTGCAGTGACTTTAGTCACATATTCCCCTCTTAAGTGGGAGTGGTGGGGAGTGCTTGGCCTCGTGACGCCGAGGACTAAGATCCAGTAGGCTAGCCCAAATCAGGTCCCTGCGCCTGGCAGTGCACCCTAGCAGTGACGCATTCAGTAGGTTGACCTGGAGGGGCGGGCCCAGCAGAGGGTGCCCAGGTCTGTGTCTCTCTAGTACACTGCAGTGGGCAGGAACACCTAGCCGGCAGATTCAAATAAACTGTAACAGACAAAGAAAAAAAAAAAAAAAAACCAACCTGGGCCTCTTATAGAAGCTTGTATGGAAGAAACAAAAAGTATGGGAAAAGTGAGCAACAAGAAAGGGTCCTCAGTCCCCAACCCTGAGAACATTGATCCAGGAAAGGTAAATGCAAAAGAGAATGAAGACAGAAAACATGCAATATCAGACACGGCACCTATAGACATAAAGCAATATCTCGGGAGCCTCATAGACGAGTTCAAAAATGAAGTATTTAATGAAATAAAGCAAGAAATAAGTAGAATAGTTAGAGAAATGCTAAGCACCACCCAAGAAAAAAACAGATGGTGGAATGGAAGAACAGAAAAAAAGGGGAGAATTGTTTGATGGAGAAAATAGAGAAAACATAGAATATGTGAAGCAGGTTCAAAGAGATTACCAGGAAACTAAACACTCTATTGAAAGCTGGCTTAACAGCTTGAAAGAAACTAAGGATAGATTATCAGAACTCGAGGACAGATTTGTAAGGTGGGAACATGAAATGAAAAACTTCTTAAAAATAACAAGAAAATAAACAGCAATAATACGAAGACTAGAAGATGATAAGAGGATCTATAACTTAAGAATTAAGAACATAAAAGAAGAAGTAGGGACTCAAACAAATGAACTTCAAAAGCTATTCACAGAAATAATCCAGGAGAATTTCCCTAATTTAGCAAAAGGTAAAGATACTCAGATGTATGAGGCATACAGGACCCCAGCCACCTACAACCCAAACAGAGCTACACCCAGGCATATAATAATCAAAATTCCAAAAATCCAATATAAGAACAGAATATTAAAAGCCGTCAAAGACAAGAAACAGATCACTTACAAGGGAAGACCCATCAGAATTACAGCAGACTTCTCGGCACAAACCATCAAATCACGAAGAGCGTGGAGGGAAATAATTCAAGCTTTGAAAGATAATAACCTCCAGCCAAGATTGATATATCCTGCACAACTGTCCCTAGAAATTGATGGAAAAACAAGGTGCTTCCAGGATAAAGAGGAACTAGGGGAATTTGCAACCACCAATTCAACTCTATAGAGATTACTGCAGGATATTCTTTTTTTTTGGTCTTTTTTATTTTTATCGGTACCAGGGATCGAACTCACGACTGCTTGCTCGTAAGGCAGGCGCTTATGCCGCTGAGCTAAATCCCCAGCCCCACTGCAGGATATTCTAAAAATGAAAAATCCCAAGATTCCAGAAACAGTGGCAGAGCGGCCACAATGAATGGAGCAGAAAGCGAAATGAAGAGGACAAACTGACAACTAATGACAGAAAAAGAGCTCAACAGAAATGAGGCAGAGACGGTTGGATGGTAGGAACAGCCATTTTGGAGAAAACAAGACATCATAATAGGTAGTGCTGATTTAATATCCTCTTGTTTTGAAGTCCCATCAAGCTTTTGTTCTTCTGTCTCCATCGGTTTTAATGTGTTGTATCTTATTGGATTTTATTACATGTGATAATATAAACAAAAACTTTTATAGACAAGGAGATTATACAGAAACCATTGTTCATTTTCTGTTAGTTGATTCTAAATACCCTGTAATACTGTCATTCTCTTGAACGGTTTTACATTGTCTTGATATGTTTGATGCTACAGTATACGAAGTTATACCCAAAGATTTTAAGGGTAGAGACACTATGGTAACTACTATTATGTCGAGATTATCTTGTGGTGAAACACTGTTTTGCTTAAATGGCTATGTTTTGACCTGTGCTGTTTTGTTGTTATGCCCTCTTTTTTTTTTTTATCTCAATCTCCTTTTTATTATCTACTTTTTTATTTTTATCCTTTTAATTAAGGGAAAAAGAAATAAAAAATAGCAGGATATATTATAGTAACCCACTTTGATTTCCTATTAACTTGATTTGAAACCCTGTATTGCTCTCACCATCTTGTTTTGACTGATTTTCCTCTATTCTGTTATGCTTGAGAGTACCAAGTTTGAAAGTATAGGCAACAACTATGAAGACAATAAGATTCATTGTGATGCCCATTCTGGTTGACTATTATCTTCTTTTGAAGTCCTCTAATGTCTCCAATGTTTTGGTTTTATTGGTCTTATCCTTTACTGTTTTGTTCAATTTTAGTATAACTGATGATATAGGCAATTCTTTTTAAGATAACAAGAGGCATTATGGTACCCATTGTTGATCACCTTGTATTTTGTTTTTACATTATGTATTATGTCCATCCTTTTGATTTGACTGACTCTGTCCTGGTATGTCACATTTAGTTTTACTTTCTTCAAAAAAAAAGTAATAAGAACTGTGGGAGCAAGAAAACCCAAAATCTGTAATTGTCATTGTACAAAAGAAAGGAAAAGAAAGTTCTCTAAAAGGTATAACTGCATATATATTTAAGTGTATAGGATAGATAACCATATTACTGAGTTTTGTTGGATCATTGAACAAAACTGTTTGCAGTCTCACTGTTTGAATGTCCCCTCTCTATGCTTTAATTTTGTAACTTCAACAACTATTTCTAAGATGACAATATGTAATTAACTAGTGATTTCCTAGTGTTTATTTTTTCTGAAATTCTGTATAACTTTTACCCTTTTTCTGTTTTTTTCTTTTTTCTCCTTAAATAAAATTAAGAAAAAAAACCAAAGTAGGTATGCATGATCTTCTGGATTTCTGCAGGGTATTGTGATTTCACCCTTTTCATTCTTAATTGCATGGATTTGAGTCTTTTGTTTTTTTGATAAGGTTAGCTAAGGGTTTGTCAATTTTATTTGCTCTTTCAAAGAACCAGCTCTTTGATTCATTGACTCTTTGTATTTTTTTTAGTCTCCAGTGTTGGGAGCCGCGGCCGAGCCCGGTCGCCTTACTTGGCGGACGTGAGGCCTGTAGGAAAGAGCAAAGCCTGAGCTAGATTACCCCTCCCATCGAGTGTGCTAAGATGGCGCTTATCTCCTGCTTCCTGCTTGGTAAACAACCCGCCCTGTAAGATCTCCTGCTTCCTGCTTGGTAAACAACCCGCCCTGTAAGATCTCCTGCTTCACAACCCGCCCTGTAAGATAGTCTGCCTAGCAACAACTGAACCCTATAAAAGTGAGTGCCTCTCCCGCCAAGAAAAGAAGAAGAAGCAGAAGAAGCAGAAGAAGCATGCAAGGAGCCGCGGAGAGCGGACCGGTAGAGGCTTCGGGACAGACTGTAGGAAGAAGCACGCAAGGAGCCGCGGGGAGCGGACCAACAGAGGCTTCGGCCGGGAGGATTCCCGGGGCAGGCTGTACGGAGAAGGAAAATAAAAGAAAAGGTTGTCCACTGCCAGACTTTGTTGTGTGTCCTTCCTGCCGGCCGGGAGTGACACCGACACTCCAGTGTGTTTTTTTCTGCCATGATCTTTATAATTTCCTCCCTCCTACTAGCTTTTGGCTTAACCAGCTCTTTTTTTTTTCCTGGAAGTTTGAGGATCACCATTAAGTTATTTATATCCACTTACTCTCTTTCCCTGATATGGGTATTTACTGTTATAAATTTCCCTCTTAAGACTGTTTTCATTGTGTCCCACAAATTCCTTTATGGTGAATTGTCATTATCATTCAACTGTAAAAACTGTTAATTTCTTCTTTAATTTTATCTGTGACCGATTGGTTGTTGATTAGGGATCTATTTAATTTCCATGTGTTAATGATGTTCTTGTGGTTTATGGGTTTCCAATTTCATTGCACTGTGGTCTGATAGTATGTGTGGGATAGTTTCAATTCCTTTACATTTATGTATGTAAGCATGTTCTATGAGCCAGTGTACGGTCTATTTTGGAGACGGTCCCATGTACAGAAGGATGCATATTCTGACGTGGGGTGGAACACTCTACAGACAGCTACCAAGTCCATTTGCTCAAATGTTGCCATCAACTCCTCTTTATTGAGTACGTCCTTAGCAGTGATTCCCAACCTTTCTAGGACCAAGTACCAGTTTCTTCAAAGACAATTTTTCTGAGGACGGCGAAACCTAGATGCCCCGTGCGAGTGTTTCTAAGTAGGGTCCGCACTCTCCAGTGCCTACCACCGCCTCTGATTTGACAGGAGGGGAGCACGGCGGGTCTGCGGGCGGCGGCGGCGGGGCTTGAAGCTTCTCTCGCTTTCCTGCAGCTCATCTCTGGCTATTGTTTGCTCTGTTCCTACAGTGGTCCAGGGGTTGGGATCTCTGGGCTCTAGGAGAGAAGTTAAGGAAGCAATTCTCCTTCGCGGAGCCTAAGTTCTAGTGGGGGAGCTCAACAGTAGACGAACGCCCCTCGCCCCTTTGAGACGTGGTCTTGCAGCGATCCTCTGGCCTCAGTCTTCCCAGTGCTGGATTACCGGCGTGTGCCACCACGCCAGGCCCTTAGGGCGGCCAGGGAGATCCGGAGGCTCAGGGAGGACGCGGGCCAGCAGCGCCTCATCCACTAACCACCCCCCGCCCCCCGCTCCTTCCGGGTGCGCCGTAGTCTCGCGAGGATCCCCGAGACTGCGTAGGTCTCCGCCCCTGGGTTGCTGGGAGACGGGCCGTCTGCGCAGGCAGAACAAGTTGGTCCCCGGTGCTGCTCGGCATCATGGTGAGGCGGGGACCTCCGACCTGGGCCAGGGTCCTGCGCACTCAGCCCTCGGGGCGGGAGAGGTGATTCGGGCCTTCTTAAGTGGGGAGATCCCTGTCCCGGGAAGGGTGCACACGTAAGGCCCGGCGCGGGCGAACTGAGCTCAGGGTTCTTGAATGCATTCCCGGGTTCTGGCCTGCACTCAGTGAAACTGAGACCTAGGCTTCAGGGTCCTGTGTGTATGGGATGATCCTGCAACTCCCGCGGATCCAGGCATGGGGTGCAAGGAGTCCCGAAGAGAGAACCTGGGTCTCTTTGACCTTGGGATTCGGGGTTTCACCTGAGAAGCTCGGGCCACACGAGGGTCCCCGTAGAGGAGGCTGGAATGGAGAGTGCGCGCACATCGCGGTTGACCGTGGACCCCTTTCCACCTGGGAACCCTGGCACAGGGTCCAGACTGCCTACTGCTCCATGGAGCTTTGCAAGAGACTGATCTAAGGAGAGGCAGGAGCTGGTCTCCTCAGCAGGTCTACTCGACTTTTTTCTAGGGACGAGGCCTCTCCAGCATGATACTGGAGTGTCGTAACTGGGTTTCTAGACTGGTGCAGCGGGATGGGAATCGGCGGCGGGTGGGGAGGTGCCCCCAGGCTGGGGAGCTCCAGGGCCCTGTCAACCTCTGCTTCCTCCAGGCCCTTTATGATAGTTTTTTGAGGCGTCCTTGGAACGGAGGGATTAAAGGGAGCAAGTGTTTAATAGTTACAGTTTCAGTGGATGGATCTTTTGAAAAGTAACTAGAAATAAAATAACAACAGCCAAGTATGGAGGCGCACACTTGTAACCCCAGCACTAAGGAGGCTGAGGCAGAAGGATCACCAGTTTGAGGCCAGGCTGGGCTACACAGTGATATCAGGTTAGCCTGAACTACATAGGGAGAACCTGTCTCTAAACAAGAGAAGACAAACAGACAAAACACATCAAGTACTTGCATTTATTGGCAGTTTATGGGATTATGGATGATTTGTTTCTCCCTATAGAATACTTCTGTCTGGTAACTTGTTTACAGGGCACCCACAGTGGTGAGTCTTTTGTGACAGGCTTCTCTAAAAAAGATTTAGCTCAATGTGATGGTACACATCCATAATTTCAGCACTCAGGAGGACTGCTGTGACTCCCAGGCCAGCTTGGATTGCAGAGCGAGACTCTATGTCCAAAAAAAAAGTTTATTTATACAGTATTTGAAAGGAAGGAAGTCTCCTGTTTTCACCACTGACCATTATGGTGTACTCATTTCTCCTTACAAATATCGAACCAATTTCTTTAAGTTTTTCTCCATGGTAGTTACTAAGCATTATAGCCAACATGGAAACATTTGACAATGTCATGTTGGGGGAGGTCCTCTCTCTTTCTCTTTTTGAATCAGGGTCTTACTCTGTAGTTCATATTGACCTTGAACTCACTATGTGGCCTAGGCTGGGCTTGAACTTGTGATCTTCCTGCCTCAGCCTCCTAAATGCTGGGATTATCTTCCCATTTTTTTTACTTAATCTTAAAATTTTTTTATAAATTAAAATGTTTATAAATGTAGTTTTTAATATGTGGTACTTACATTTATTTTGAAGAATTGGTGCATGTGCATATCTTTTTAAAGTTTCTTTTAAAAATTAAATTCTTTTCATATTATTTTTTCAAATCCATTTTATTCAAATAAAAAGAAGGAACAAAAAGAAGAAAAAAAAAAAACTACAACAAAATTTTAAAGTACATCAATCCCGGGGTATCAATGGTATATACACGGTACATTGTTGACCCCAGATCATTCAATCAGAGCACAAGACATCGACATTCAATTGTCTGAACAATGCCAGCATAAATCTTTCTCTTCAGTGAACTCAGAGAAACCAGCAGTATAACTATCTTAACTAGTTATTTTTTATGTACATGTACATGCACTTATACATATGTTTTTTCTTTCATTTTGTCACACTAATGAAACAATACAATGTTTACACTTGTGTGTCTTATTTCACTAATAAGTATGGTCTCAGTTTATCCTTCTTTATGGCTGAGCAGTACTCTATTGTATACAAATACTACATCTTTTTTATTCATTCCTCAGCTAATGGGCATTTGTGTTGTTTCCGAGATCCAGCTATTACAAATTGTGCTGCTATAAATATGAGTGCTGTGGTATGATGCTTTTAATTTCTTTGGAAAGATACCCAGAAGGGGAATAGCTGGGTCGAATGGGATCTCCAATCCTAGTGTTTTGAGGAATCTCCACACTGATTTCCACAGTGGTTGCACCAGTCTGCACTCCCACCAACAGTGGAGGAGTGTTCCTTTTCCCCCACAGCCCATCCAGCATTTGTTACTGGTTGATTTCTTGATACTAGCCATTCTTTCTGGGGTGAGGTAGAATCTCAGTGTCGTTTTAATTTGCATCTTCAAACGACCAGTGAAGTTGAACATTTTTCATGGATGTTACTTGCTGTTGGTATTTCTTCATCTGAGAAGTGTGTATTCTTCTCAGATGCCTGTTTTTGACTGGGTGTTTGAATCTGGGAGGACTGATTTTTTTCAGTTTTTTTTTATATGTTCTCGATAGTAATCCTTTTGTCTGAGGTACCTGTGGCAAACATTTTCTCCCACGTTATGAGTTGTGTCTTCACTCTGTTGGTGGTTTTTCTTGCTGTAGGAAAGCTTTTCAGTAAGGTGAGTCCCAGTTGTTGATTCTTTTTGATAGTTCCTGTGTAATCGGGTTTTGTTCATAGTCTGCCTACACCAGTGACTTCAAGAGTTTTACCTACTCTGTCTTCCAGTAGATCTAATGTTTCTGTTTTAATATTAAGATGTTTGATCTGTTGAGATGTTAGCTTAATACATGGTGAAAGATATGTGTCCAGTTTTAATCTTTGGCATGGGTAGAGTCAGTTTTTCCAGCACCATTTATTAAAGAGGCTATTTTTTCTTCAAATGGGTGTGTTTGGCCCTTTTGTCAAAGATCAGGTGGCTTAGTGTGTTTCCAGTTGTTTCTACATCATCTAATCTATTCCATTGATCTTTGGGTCTCTTTCTTTCTTTCTTTCTCTTTTTCCTTTTTGGCTAGTACCACACTGTTCTGCTTCTTTTTTTTTTTTTTTTTTTTAATAGCAGCTTTACAGTATAATTTCAATTCAAGGTTGTAATATCCTGTCTTATCTTTGTTGCCCAGGTTCTAGGTCTTTTCTAGGTGGCTGACTGAGCATTTTTCATCTTTTGGCTCATTCATCAACTCGTTTTTTTTTTTTTTTTTAAACTCCATTTGATTTCAAGAAGAAAAACAAAAAAAAGAAGAAAGAAAAATTTCAGAACCTCAACCAGGGAGCAACAATGGTGCATATATTGTACATTGTCATCCCCAAATCATTCACCCAGAGCACAAGACATCGACATTCAATTGTCTGAAAAATACCAGCACAAATCTTTCTCTTCAGTGAACTCAGAGAAATCAGTTGTGTAACCATCTTAATTAGCATCTCTCTTTCTCTCTTTATATATTACACATATATATGAATGTATATGTTATTTCTTTCAGCTTCTCACACTAGTGAGAATATAATGTTTGCATGTGTCTTATTTATTTCACTTATGGTTATGGTTGTGAGGTGGAATACTCTATAGACATCTACTAAGTCCATTTGCTCAAAAATTTGATGTAGTACGGCTGGTCCGATGGCAGTGGGTTATCAGTGGGTTATATCACTAAAGTTGGTATACCACCCCCCACTGCTAAATTTGACTGGCTTTAAAAAAAAATTCGATGTAGTTCTATTTCATTATTGCTTTTTTGTCTAGTTGATCTGTCTTTTTGTGACAGTGGGTATTGAGGTCTCCCAATACAATTGTGTTAAGGCTCATGTGATTTTTCATGCCCATTAATAATTGTTTTATGTAGCTGGGTGCACTAATATTTGTTGCATATGTATTTGTGATTGTTATCTCTTCCTCTTGGATTGTTCCCTTTAGAAGATTGTAGTGACTTTCTTTATCTCTCTTAATCAGTCTTGGCTTGAAATTCACTTTATCTGCAAATAGAATAGCAACTCTTGCTTTTTTCTGGATTCTTGTTGCACGGAATATTGTTTTCCATCCTTTAACTTTCAATCTATGAATTGTTTTTTTGATTAAATGTATTTCTTGGATGCAGCATATTGTTAGATCTTGCTCCTTGATCCATTCTTCCAGTCTGTGTCTTTTGACTGGTGAATTGAGCTCATTAACATTAATGGTTAAAATCTGATATGTATTAATTTATCCTTGTCATGTTATTTTCATATTATTGGTTCCCCTGCTGCTGTTTTTCTTTTTCCCTTTCCTCTAATTGGTTGTCTGTCCTAGTGGATTCCTTCTATTAGGGTTCATGGAGCTGTAGTCCTTACTGTTTCTTTCTAGAATGTCCTTCAGAACATTTTTGAGTGCTGGTCATGAATTTCCTCAGATGTTCTTTGCCATAAAAGTATCTTGTTTCTCCATTAATTTTGAAAGGTAGTTTTGTGGGATATGTTGATCTGGGTTGAAATTGTTTTCCTTTAGAACTTGGAGTACTTCACTCCAAGCTCTCCTTGATGTGAGAGCTTGTGCTGAAAAGTCAGCTGTGGGGGCTGGGGATTTAGCTCAGAGGCATAAGCACCTGCCTTGCAAGCAGGCAGTCGTGAGTTCGATGCCCCGTACCAATAAAAAAGAAAAAGACCAAAAAATAAAACAAAAAAAAAACCAAAAAACAAACAAACAAAAAAAACCCCAAAAAACTCAGCTGTGATTCTGATGGGCTTTCCTTTGTAGGAATTTGTCTTTTTCTGTAACAGCTTTCAAGATTCTATTCTTGTGTTGAATTTCTGGAATCTTGACTATGATATGCCTGACTCAGGGCTATTTCTGATCATTGCTAATTGGAGTGCTATTTGCCTCACTTATTTGTATGTCAAATTCTTTTTCTCTACCAGGGAAGTTTTCTGTCACAACGTCTGTTAAGATGTTTTTAATGTCATTTGTGGTGTCTGCTGCTTGTTCATTGACTTCAGTTATTCTATTTTGTCTCATGTAGCAGCTGCTGGATTGATTTTTCATGTTCCCTTGCTAGTTTTGAGAAATCTTTCTTCTCATGGTCACTAACTGTAATCTGGTCTTGGACATCTGAGATTCAATATCTTACCCTGACATTGGCCTAATCTGCTTTAGATACTTTCAGCAAAGTTTTATTCTCCTGGATATCTCATTGAATCTGCTTATGGACTCCATCTCTTTCCTATGTTCAGCTTCCATAATTTTATGAAGCTCATCTATTTTTGTCTGGCTCCAACATCACTAAGCACAGTGTGTAATTTGGTAATCTCTGTAGTTATTTGAGAGATTATTTCTGATTTCATTTTTTCCAGAGCCTCATTCAATTGCTTTGTTGTTACCACTTCAGAGGGATCTGGTGGGGGGCTTCCAGATTGTCTTACCTCAGTGCCCCCTGGGTTTGCCTTTGGTGAACTGGATGGGGTTGCATCTTGTTTAAGTATTTTCTCATTTCTTTTCTTTTTTAGTTTAATTCCTAGGGTAGTGCTTGTAAGTTACCTGTGGTGGGTTGCTTTATTGGTATATTTAGAACACTTAGGTGATGATTACTTCTCTGATGGATCTTCCAGGTGTAGCTGCTGGAAGATCTTAGCTCATCAGTTTATTGGAGATGAGAAGTTGTTGCTTGTTTGGCCTGCTTGCTGGTTCTTTGGCACTATGTCATAGTATTTCCTGTGACCCTTAATTAATCTCAGTTATGGATTATCAGGACCAACAGCTGCTTGGAACAATTGTGTCAGTTTTGGCTGTAGTGGTACCAATAAGCATCAAACACAGCCTATAAAACAACAAACTGAACTAACCCTTAATTTGCAACTTTTAACTATATGAACTAGATTTGTGATTATATAACAAAATGTAAAACCAACTAGATAATTATATGCAATATGTAAGTTCTCAATGTGTCAATTTTGCCCTCACGGTTAAAATTTAAAATGGGTTAAGGAGATAATAGAGAAGTGGAAAAACAGAAAGATTACAAGTAAAGTGGAGGACACAGATGGCACAACTTGAGAAAACTGATGCAGAAGAAATAAAAGAGAGGTGGAAGAGATAAAAGGTAGAACCAAACAGAACCACACCCAGAAAAAGGTTAGGAACGACTCTCACACTCATAAAAAAACAATGAAAGAGAAAGAGAAATAAAAACAAGAAACAAACTGAATAAAACAAACAAGAAAAAAAGAAGGAAAAAGAGAGAGAAAAAAGAAGAAAGTCCACTTCCAGGAATCTCCAGGTTCACTATAGACCACTTGTGAAGACAGAGTCTCAAATAGTGCCACTGTATTCCAGCAAGCCAGCTGTTGCTTTTGGCAGAGTAGTAGATGACCTTAGCAGGCCTGTCTCGAGACCAGATTCACTGGGCTCTCCACAGTCCAGATAATTTTCATGGGTCTGCGCCTAGCTAGAAATTGCTGGAGGAAGCCAGCAGCAGTTCTGGTTAAAGGCTTATCCAGCCCAGCTCCAAATTGGCTCCTGGCCAATCGCTCTTTCCCAAGGGAGGACTGAGTCTTCTGCACTCACCGCCAGCCAGTCGGTGGTGTCCTCCAGGTCTGCGGCTGCCCTCCACTGTTGTGACTCTCTTCAGGAGCCTCTGGGGTCACCAGTCACCACCACCACCGTCATTGTCACTGTGCACCCCCAGGTTCCCATAGCTCCTCTCATGCAGTTAGTCTGGCTTTGGGCAAAGGTGCTGCCAGCTACCGTAGCCTTTTTCTTTGCTGAAGTTTTTCTTTTTACTCTCTCTGTGGCCTTCAGTTCACACTTCAGATTCTTTATGGGTCCAGGGGACCCACCGCTTCCTTCTTGTCTTCCTCACAGTGCTATATTCTAGTGTCTGGATGGTGACTCTCAGAGAGGCTACATTAAATTAAATTTATTTATTGTCTTGGTACTGGGAATCAAACTCAGGGCCTCATGCTTGCCAGGCAGGTGTTGTGCCACTGAGCTAAATCCCCAGATCTTCTTTTTTTTTTAATTTTAAAGAAAAAAAAATTTCAAGACATGATAATTAGAGGGTAACAATGGTTAATACATTGTGTATTGTTATCTTCAAATCACTCAAAATATAAAATATCTACATTTAATTAAATAATACTAGCACAAACCTTTTTCTTCAATGAACTCAGAGAAATCACTAGTATATCTTAATACACACACACATATTTATATATATATATATATATATATATATATATATATATATACACATACCTACATTATTTCTTTCAGCTCATACTAGAGAGACAATATGACGTTTACACGTGTCAGTCTGATTTATTTCACTTATGAGTATCATCTCCAGTTGCATCCATTTACCTATAAAAGTCTCAAATTTCGTCGGGCATGGTGGCTCACACCTGTAATCCCAGCACTTGGGAAGCTGAAGCAGGAGGATCGCTGCGAGTTCGAGACCAGCCTGGGCTACAAAGTGAGCTCAAGGCCAGCCTGAACTGCATAGTGAGATCATCCTGTCTCAGAAAGACAAAAAAAAAAAAAAAAAAAAAGTCTCAAATTTATCCATCTTTATGGCTTAGTACTCCATTGTATAAAATGTACCATATTTTTTTTTTTTTATCCAATCCTTGGTCGATGGGCATTTAGGTTGTTTCCAAGATTTAGCTGTTACAAATTGTGCTGCCATAAACACAGGTGCCCATATATTGCTGTGGTATGATATTAGCATATCTTGATGATTGTTGATTACATAACCTTCTTCCTCTGATCACCTTCTGCCTGAGGGTCCTCATTTTTGAGCCCAGGTCAATTTGCTTTCCCAGAATTGCTGCAGTGTTGGCTATATACTGAGGAGTGAGTGAATTTGGAACAGGTTCTTCCCCTTGACAGGGAGAAAGTGCATTTTTCTGCAAAGGATGTCCTACCCTTTGTGCTTCTCCAAGTGTGTCAGCAGGGTGTGTATGGGTGATGGTGGGAATATGCAGGGCAGAGTGATGTGCTCAGGTGAGTACTTCCATCAGGGGCACGAGAGAGGAAGCAAGATGGAGAGGTTCCAGATAGGTCCTCCCAAAACGCCTATGGAAGCAAATGAGAGCCATCCAAGAAGGAGAAATCATTTGGCAGAATTACTTGACTTACTCACTAATTTTTCTTCAATTCAAGGCACCCAAGAAGAAAGGGAAGAAAGGTAAAGCCAAAGCTGCCCCGATTGTGGATGGGCTTGCTCCAGAGGATATGAGCAAGGAGCAGGTGAGCAGGGCCTATGCTGTCTAATCTCAGGGTGGGATAGTGTTACCCAGCTCTCCTGCTTAACGTCTTATGTTTGCCACCCTTCTCCTCTTGGTCTGAATCCTCCTATTCTGTCTAAACCAGTTATACCCCTCCCATGTTCATGGGTTCCATCAGCTCCAGCTTTCAGATGCATTACATATTTTTTAAAAAGTAGGGCAGCAGCACCTGCCCGGCAAATGGAAGATCCTGAGTTCAATTCCCAGTACCAAAAACCAAATAAACAAAAAAACGCCACCAAAAAACATAAAGCTAGGTACAATGGTGCATTCTTGTAATCCCAGCTACTTGGGAAGTTGAGTCAAGAAAATTGCAAGTTGAAGGTCAGCCTGGGCAACTTACTGAGATGCTGTCTCAAAAACAAACCAAAAACCAACAAAGGACTAAGGATGTAGCTCAGTGATGGAGTGCTTGTCTAGTACGTCAAGGCTCTCAGTTGAATTCTCAGCACATCCTCCCCCCTCGAAAAAGGTAAAACAAACAAACAAACAAACATAAAACAACGCCCAAAACCATTCACATTAAGGAACTTTCTAATGGGATGGTAGGAATTTAGATATTTAGAAAATGCCTTTCTAATGAAATAAGTTATTTTTAACTTTCTATGGTCTTTTAGTCCTACCTATGTATGCACCTGATGTTCACAGAGCTGTCATTATATTATGCACATGTATGGCACACTCCTTTAGTTACCATTAAACATTAGCATAAAAGGAAAGGTTTTTTCCAAGTCCATTTTATTTCAAAGAGAAAAAAATAGAACAAAATTTCAAAACACGACAATCAGGGGACAATGATGGTACATAATTGCACATTGCCATTTCCAAATCAGTCACCCAGAGCACAAGACATCTACATTCAACAATCTGAACAGTACCAGTGCAAATCTTTCTTTTCATTGTACTGAGAGAAATTAGTACTGTAACTACCTTAACTATTTTTTATGTACATATATATACATATACATATGTTGTTTCATCTTCTCACACTAATGAAACAATATGATGTTTACACAGGTGTGTCTGATTTGTTTCACTTGTGAGTACGGTCTTAAGTTGCATCCATTTACCTATGGAAGTCTCCAGTTTATCATTCTTTGTGACTGATAGTACTCTATTGTATAAAAATACCACACCTGGCAAAAAGAAAGTTTTTGAGAGGAACATGATTTTCCTAAAATCGTCTCAATATGTTTAAGTTAGTTATTGATGTTGATAAAAGTTCTATCCAGAGTGACAGGTCTCTTTATACACAAAAAGAGACCTGTTACTTCTTAATATATATATCTGTTACTTTGGATCTGTCTATCAACATGGAAGGAGTTTTTTTTTTGTCTTTTTCGTTTTTATCGGTACCAGGGATCGAACTCACAACTGCCTGCTTGCAAGGCAGGCGCTTATGCCACTGAGTTAAACCCCCAGCCCCACATGGAAGGAGTTTTGTTAGCCAGAGTTGGAGCTGATTGTGGGCCCTGGAACTGTGGTCATAGTGCTTTATTCACATGCAGGAATTTCAGGCTGTTCCACCAGAGGGGAGGTTTTGAGACTAGGGTGACAGATGGAGATGGGATCAAGTGTTGATGTGAGCTGTTACTTGTACCTGGTTGCTTTGCATCCCTGAGGAGCTGGAATGTTGATGCAGTAGTGGTCAGGTGCTCTTGGGTCTGCAGAGCTGGGGCTGCTGCTGTACACTGGACAGTTGAGGTACAAACTCAGAGGCCTGCAGGTCCAGCAAGAGAATGGGGATGCAGATGACCTGGAGACTCAGGCTCCTGTACAGGATAGCTTCACCAAGCTTTTGCCCTGAGGGCACTGGAATCCAGTGCTGTTTATTTTCAGATTTCTTTTCTTTTTTTTGCTATTGGGATTCAAACTCAGGACCATGTGCTTGCTTGGCGGGTGCTGCACCACTGAGTTATTTTCTTTGAGACACAGTGTCACTATGCAGTTCAGGCTGGCCTTGAGCTCATCATAGCCCAAGCTGGTCCTAAACTGATGGCAATCCTCCTACCTCAGCCTCTCCATTGCCAGGATTACAGGTGTACACCATAATATTTAGCATATTTTTTTGATTTTTCAAGAGAAGCTAGAAATGTGGACATTGCTAGGAAATCAAATATTTAGTGATGACACAATCTAACACCCTGCAAGCCAACCAGAGCAGATAGGAATCCTGCTTTCAGCTTTTCATTTCAGTGGCACTGAAGTGCTGTCATTTTTCTGAGGTGAAAGTCAGATTTTGTGGTGCCATGAGTACTCAGGGGGACCCCAGCCCTTGGCCAACCAGCCCCTTGTCCGAGCTGCAGGTTGCATTTGGTTTTGTTGAAGTGAGAAAGGTGGTTTCCCTATGGGGAATGTGGTCATGGGAAAGAAGAAACTTTACAGTCAATGGCCTGGGGCTGTGCCCAAAGATAACTATTTTCAGGGAAATCAGGTCCCCAGGAAGCTGGGTAGCTGTCCTACTTTTTTCTTTAACCTATTTGCAGTTGGCTTTGGACCAAAATCTGTTGAGTTTTAGACATCTACTGGTTTTGTGTATTTTTTGTTTAACATTGTATCTTTAAAGGGGAATATTTTTTCACGTATTTTGTGGAGACGTTTACATGCTGCTACATCATTTTCATATCAATTTTTTCATTTATAGTTCTTCTGATTGATATACTATAACTTTCAGCCATTTTCTTAGTTAAAATTATTTTACATAATTTTATTGTTAAGTTTTTTTTTGTGTGTGTGTGTGTTTGAGATAGGGTCTCACTATGTATATTCAGGTTGGCCTTGAATCTTGAACTCACTATGTAAGCCCAGGCTGGCCTCGAACTAATTGCAATCCTCCTGCCTCAGCCTCCTGAGTATTAGGGTTCAAGGTATGTGCCCCCACGCCTGACTTCATTTTTTTGTAGTTTTACAAATGTCTTGTTATAATAATAATGAGATTAATACCTTTAAGCCAAAAGCTTATTTTTTTTGAAGAATTTCTTTAATATAAGTTTGCAAGAATGACTGAATAGATATACTTGTTCTATGATAATTAGCCAAATTCAAAAAAATTCTGCCATTTATTGCATGCATCCTATCCCTGAAGCCTCCTGGCAACATGCTTTAACTTTCCACTTTGTGTTTATTTTTGGTAAGGTGGCCCCTCCCTTCTCTCTTCCTCCCTGAATCCACACCCTTTGCCAGGGCCCTTCCGGGCTGGGCTTCGGGGTCCCTGACCTACCTGCCCGGCCAGGTGGAAGAGCACATCAGGCGCATCCGGGAGGAGCTAGATCGGGAGCGGGAGGAGCGCAACTACTTCCAGTTGGAGCGGGATAAGATCCACACATTCTGGGAAATAACACGGAGGCAGCTGGAGGAGAAAAAGGCTGAGCTGCGAAACAAAGACCGGGAGATGGAGGAGGCTGAGGAAAGGCACCAGGTGGAAATCAAGGTGAGTGAGGCTGGCCTGCCTGTGTATGTGAGGCTCAGTACAGGGGTCAGGTGGAGTGGCGTCATTTTCTGTCCTTGTTCTGGGGGTTTTTATGGGTTTTTATGTTGGAACGTGGGAGACTGAGGAAAAGAAACTGGATCCCCGCAGTGATGGGAGGGGCCCTGAGAGTCCTGCGTGGTATGGAGGGAGTGTGGGCAGGGGCAGAGTGACCTCCCTGCAGCCTGACTCTGTTAACATGTGAGCTAGGTGACATGTACCTCCACTGCCAATCAGTGTTCTGCTCTGTCCTTGGGGCAGGCAAGCGGGATAACAGGTACAGCCTTTTGCTTGCAGGTGTACAAGCAGAAGGTGAAGCACCTGCTATATGAGCACCAGAACAATCTGACTGAGCTGAAGACCGAGGGTACTGTAGCCATGAAGCTGGCCCAGAAGGAGCACCGCATGCAGGAGGGCGCACTGCGCAAGGACATGCGTGTGCTCAAGGTGGAGCTCAAGGAGCAGGAACTGGCCAGCGAGGTGGTTGTGAAGAACTTGCGGCTGGTAAGTGTGTGGAGGGCGTGGGGACAGATGTGGGACATTAAGGCTTGTGCTGCCCAAATTCCTGGTTATTCAACAACCAGAATTCATGTTTCTGGGTAAAAACTTCTGCATTTTTGTAATTCATTGAAATACTTAAAAAAAAAAAAAAAAAAAACCCAAAACAGAAAAATCCCATGGCCAAACAACCCCTACTTAAAGGGCCCAGTACAGAATTCTTGATGTTCTTGAAGGAATATCCAGCAGAGGATCTTTCTTCTGTGCTGTTGAGCCTGGCCCTGTACACTGTGTAGGAAACGGATCAGACCCAGATAGAAAAGCCAGTGTACAGAGATGTCCTGTGACCTAGCCTCAATGCTGCAGGAACTGTCATTCAGGCAGTGCTGTGAGGACCTGGCTTACTTGGAGGCTGGATTGGTCCTTCCTGAGAGAGGCTGGGAGTTCCCAGGTAGAGCTTGAAACTCATTTGCTGAGTGCTGGGCTGATCGGACCCATGACAGGCTATCTCCCTGCAGGAAAGGATGGAGACCACGTGTGGGACCTGAGACAGAACTGCTGTGTCAGGTGCAGTGTCACAGAGGGGATGAGTATGAAAGAGAAACAGAGAGATGGTCTGGGAGCTGAGTGAGGGCAGGGGCTGCAGGTTTCTGTAAGAGTTCTGACATTGCCTCACTAGAAAGTGATGTTTGGGCAAAGGCTGGATGGAGCTAGGCTCAGAGATGCCAGCCCAGGGAGAGGGATGGGCCGGTGGGGAGACTGGAGGCTGGAGGAGCCAAGGTGCTTGGATGGCTGGATGCATGGCCTGGAAAGCGCCTGAGTCTGGACTGAGAAGCCAGCACATGTGCTTCCTGCCTGGGAGCTACCCAGCCCAGCAGACACCAGAAGATACCTGATGGCAGGGCCATTGTGGAAGATCATGGGGTTGCTAATGTCTGGGCCCTCCAGAGCAATCTGAGGAACACAATAGCTGGTTTCAAATTAATTTGGGACTCTAAAGCTTGGGTGTGGGGCTGTTACATGTTCAGTATTTATTCTTTTTTTTGATACCAGGGATTGAACTCAGGACCTTGCGCTTGCTAGGCAGGTGCTTATGCCGCTGAGCTAAATCCCCAGCCATCAGTATTTATTCTTTTGGGTAGCATAATTTGAATTTTTTTTTTGAGGGTACTGGGGATCGAACTCATAACCTCATTCTTGCCAGGCAGGTGCTTGTTCTGCAGAGATATATCCCCAGCCCTGACCTTTTTTTGTTTAAAATTTCAATGTGTAATAATTGTTGATAAAAAGAATTTTTGAATGTTACCCTATGCAGCAATGAAGTGGGTTTATAAGAGCTGCAAGAGGCTATAGAGAGAGCCTGCAGCTCCTGTAGTTGCGGCTGCTGCCCTCTTGGACTCAGAAGCTACTTTGGTAGGGATGTGAGCTATGTATGGGACGGTGACAAATACCATGTTATTCTGGACATGTTTCATGAGTTCAGCAATGAGAGAGAAACCTAGTAACTAGTAGCAAGAGCACAAATTCACAGAGCTGGGATTGTCACGGGTGATGGGTGTGGGACAGAGTCATCCTGAAAGCAGTGGTGTCTAGTAACTTCTTGCTCTTGCCTGTCCAGAAACATGCTGAGGAGATCACCAAGATGCGGAATGACTTTGAGAGGCAAGTTCGAGGTCAGTTTCTCACGTACACACTGTGTACACAGTGTGAGGATCCCCTATCGGAAAAAGTACCGGAGATTGAACTCACGACCCCAAAATGCTTTTAACTCACTGTACAACCAAAATGAAACAGCCCACATGCCAAGAGAGAATGAGGAAGTTCCCAAAGCCAGGGGACCATTCGGAATCCCAGAATGATTTATTCCCATGCAAGTTGCAGGAGCTGTGAATACCATACACTTCCTCACTCCTGTATAGAGGCAATGGCTCTTTCATCTTACGAGTAACATTCTTAGAAGAGTCCTGGCTCCTGGCCCAAGAAGGCTCAGTTTTACCCTGCCTAGTTCCCTAGTCAGACCCTGTCACCTGTGGCTGGACAGCTGCCCAGTTGTGGCTGGTGTCTGCTGGGCTTAGCTGAGAGCCAACAGGGGAGTCCCATGTAAGTATCCACTGCTACGCCTGTCACTAGCGCACAAGGGCTGATGGTGGTCCAGGGGATGAGTATGTCACCTGTGAGCTGCACTGGAAGAACTCCTCAGCCCAGTTGGTCCTGGCAGAGCAGCCTTTATTCTGCCCACAATGGTAGCTCCCAGGTGCTGTGTACAGATTTCCTCTGTTCTTGAAGCTACTGACACTTGTGCTTTCTCTGCTAAGCTTCTGTGAATGCTGCTACCTTTCAGAAATTGAGGCCAAGTGTGATAAGAAGATGAAAGTGCTGAGGGACGAGCTTGATCTGCGAAGAAAAACTGAGATCCACGAAGTGGAGGAGAGGAAAAACGGTCAGATCAATACACTGATGCAGCGCCATGAAGAGGCCTTCGCTGACATCAAGAACTACTACAATGACATCACGCTCAACAATCTGGCCCTCATCAACTCCCTCAAGGTACTGTTGTGGGGGGCTGGGTACCTCTGCACCTGTCGTAACATGGGCTGCAGAACCTGGGGACAGGGACCCAGCTCTCAACCCCACCAGATCTCACAGTCCTTCTATAAGAATATGGACGATCACCTTGTGCTGCCTTAATTAGGAGCTGTCTATACTTGTATCTGTGGTCAGGATGCTTCTGTCAATGTGAGGAGTGTGAGGGAAGTGATAGTACTCAGGGGATTCTGGCCAGACACACCCAGGCAGAGCTGAAGTAGGCATCTCACTATGACCACTGAAGCCAGAGTGGGTAGTTTTCATGTCTCTTGGATGCTGGCAGTGCAGGGTTGTCTGCAATGGGAGAATGACCTTGGTGTGATTTTGAACAGAGTGCAATTTCTCAGTTTGCTGCATCCTAGGAAATTCAGAATAAGTTAAGACTGCAGAAACATCCTGGGCTTGGTGGCACACATCGTCTTCCCAGCATTCTGGGAGGTTAAGGCAGGAGGATGGAAAATTTGATCCCAGCCCGAGTAACTGAGTGACTTAATGAGACCCTATCTCAAAATTAAAAAGAATAAAGGGGCTGAGGATGCAGGTTAGGGTGAAGACCCAGTCCCAGTACCAAAAACACAAAAATCTGTTTACACATAAAACAAGTCTAGGTTCCAGTGTGGGTATGGCTGGTGGGACCTGTTTGTCCCAGGTCCCAACCCCTCTGCACCTCACTGTACCACAGGATCAGATGGAGGACATGCGCAAGAAAGAAGAGCACCTCGAGCGGGAGATGGCGGAAGTGTCCTCACAGAATAGGCGCCTGGCAGATCCCCTCCAGAAGGCCCGGGATGAGATGGCTGAGATGCAGAGGAAGATTAGAAACTATGAAAGGGATAAACAGATTCTGGTGGTGAGTTTCCTGCTGAGCTCCTCTTCTTGGCATGTGCTCTCCTGGGCTCAGGGAGAAGCACACAGGTGACATCTGGGCCCTGGCCAGCCTCAGCCTTTAGAGTGGAAAGGGAGAGTCAGGGAAACTGGCTTTCTCCTCTTGGCACTGCTCTGGGGTAGCTACATGGGTGGTGCTTCAGGAAACAAGGACTTATTCTCTGTGTGTCATGCTAATGGGCCTGCATTGCTTTTGGAGATTACTTCTAGTCTTACCATCTCCCAGAAGCCCATGTTTGAGCTCTGAGTGCTTTCTGGCCCTTATCCCATTTCCTCCCCAGAGCACAAAAACACGTTTGAAGGTTACTGAGAAGGAGCTGAAGGACCTGCAGTGGGAACATGAGGTGCTGGAGCAGCGTTTCATCAAGGTGAGGTCATGGGGGCCTGGGTGGTCTCTGGGCTGGAAACAGAGCTGCCTGCATCTCAGTTCATGCAGCTTTTATAAGGTAATGACCTGTGGCCTGTTCTGTAGAAGGCCATGTCTCCCAGATCTGCAGAAGCAGTGTGTGCCTTGAGCAGGGACGGAGGCAGAAGGTGGCTTCTTCCTGGGGAGACATCTCCAATTGAGGGGCCTTGTCATTTACTCCAGCCTCATCCTGCAGGTGCAACAGGAGCGGGATGAGCTCTACCAAAAGTTCATGGCAGCCATCCAGGAGGTGCAACAGAAGACTGGTTTCAAAAACCTGCTGCTAGAGCGCAAGCTGCAGGCCCTGAGTGCTGCTGTGGAAAAGAGGGAGGTGCAGTTCAATGAGGTGCTGGCAGCCTCCAGCCTGGACCCTGCTGCACTGACGCTTGTGTCTCGCAAACTTGAGGTAGGTGCAGGGTCAGCTTCTACTTCCAGCAGGCCTTCACCCTGTACTGTGCCACCTTCAATGGCACAGAGGCCCTCTATTTCCCATGGGGACCTGGGTCCCACAGGCCATGTGCGTTACAGTCTCCTCTCTTGGTGTTGCTGAGCGCTCCTGAATTTCCCAGTCCTACTTTCGTCTTGTGACCTTAAGCTTCTTCCCTCCAGCTATCCAGAGTGGCTTGAGACCTCCAGCCTTCTAGAGTGGCATGGCCTGGGTGTGTAAGAGCTGCTCTCAGAACTCTGGGTCTCGGCTCCTTGGCCATTGGCCGGGCCTAGCAAGGCCATGGTTGGTGGTGGCACCTGGAGGCCCCCAGGATGTGCTGGCTTGGGGTGGGGACAGTTCCTGTAGAGATGGGGTAAGGTGTGGGCACCCAGGTGACTCAGAGTCCTTGCTGTATTTGTGGATGCCATGGGAAGTGAGTTCTACCTAGACCCCAGGTATTTGCTTCTCTGTGTGGCACTGCTTGGCTAGAACTGTTCTGGGCTTGGGTAGGGATAGCACTAAATAAAGTAGAAGTGGCCTCAACCCAACTGACGACCTGGAGACAGATGTACAAGCATTGGGAGGCAGCAGCCTGGGACGTAGCCTCATAGCTTGTCTGTCACTGGCTTGTTGAGCTTCTGGTGCTGGGCTGTGCCCCTGTGCTCTGTCCCTGGGCTAAAGAGTCCTAGAAGGAACAGGTGACAAAGTGTGTGTCAGCTCTTTGGCTGACACTGGAATCTCAGCCAGCTGGGGTGACTGGTGGCTGCCAGGCTGGTGGCTCGTGTTCAGTAGGCCAGGTGTGGCTTCCCAGGGCCCCTGGAGACAGACAGTGTTGATTTCCAGACATGCCTGCCACTCTCAAGTGGGAAACAGCTGGTCCTGAAGCCCCATCAGGCCAGCTTGTCACGGGGAAGGATCCTTTGGGCAGGAGGAGTCTGTTTCCGCTGCTTGTGCTGTGCTGGTGACAGAAGTGGATATGGGCCTTTGGCTTGATGCTTCCTACTGTCTACAGAGGGGTTTTTAATGAGTTCCACAGACAGGATTTCTTTCTTCTTTTTTCCTTTAATGGAAAGATTTTGATTGAGGATTTTTGAGGTTTCAGACCTTGATCTGTTGGCCCCGTTGTCTCAGGGCTGTGGAGGGGAGGGCGTGATGGAGCAGAGAGCCACAGGTAGTGTTTCCAGGGTGATTTGTCAGCATAGTTCAGCTGAATTGAAATCTCTTCTGCTCACTGAGCCTGCTGGCCTAAAGGATTAGTTTTATGTCCAGTCACTAAATCTCTGTTTATAGCATTCTAGCCTGGTTTGCCTACTGCTATCCACTCTGCCTATTTCCCATCCAACTGAGGCCTGATGTCTGAGAGCGTCTCTAATGCTGGAGAACACCCAGGCCTGGGAGTGAGAGCAGAAAGCTATCATACAGGACCTGTCTTCTGTATCCTGAGTACATGGGCAGTTGGGAGCATGGAGAGTTTAGGCCCAGAGGAGTGAATGGGAGAGAGCCCTCTCTGCCTCAGATGAAACCCAGTTCAGGATGAGAGGAGGAGGGGCACAAGCTATCACAAGCCGACCCAACAGGACTCGCCCCTGCTGTGGCATCTGGGAGTGTCCCAGGTGACATCCCTGTGCTTCCAGCCAGGGTACCCAGGTGTCACAGCTATGTAACAGGCCCATTCAATCAGGGTCCCTAAGAAAGACAAATCTTGGGCCTGGGTTGAGGCAGCAGCCACAGGGCCTGGGATTGGGAGCTGGCCCATGTCCTGCTCTCTGCAGGCCCCCATCCTAGGGCAGGTAGAGAGTGAGCTCCTGCTGTTGCAAAGTGGAGGGATCATCCCACTGCTTAGGAGGGGCAGGCTGATCCTGTGGTGCCAAGTAGTTGGGATGTGGTGGTAAGAATCAGTCATAGTCATACTGTCACCTTGGGTCTGGACTAGTCGTAGATAAGTCCCTGCCTTTCCTGGTTAGTGTTGCCTTGATTTTGGGAAGGAACCTTCTAGGGAAATGACAATGTGTCCCCATAGGGACACTTCTCAGGCTGGGCAGGTGAGGGTTTAAGGGGCTTCTCTGGGCTCTGGAGCTGGACTGGGCCTAATATTGGCCCTTGGCCTGGCTCTTACAGCACCCCTCAGACAGGAAGCCTGGCAGCCTCACCATGTGGCAGCAACCCAGGGGCTGAGCCATGCAGATCTAAGCCCATGACACTGGGGCCTTCATGATGAAGTTTTATTTATTTATTTGGCTTTTCTTGGGACAGAATCTTGCTTTATAGTCCAGGCTGGACTTGAACTCACAGTGTGGCCAGGCTAGGCTTACGCTTGTGGTGCTCTTTGTGTCTCAGCCTCCCAACTAGGATTACATGCTGTGCCACTACGGTCTGCACTGTGGTAAAGTCTTAAAAGTTACAGACTTCTTCTTTTCTGCTAAAAAAATTGGGATAATATGGTCACATGGATGCACAGATGGCATTTAGTGATGAGTCTGCTCTCTTTAGCGGTCTGGGCCACCTGCCACTCTCCACTACACTGTCATTTCTTGTGGGACCAGACCACTTTTCTCTGTGAAGCTATAACAGCACAATGTACATTCTAGTTTCTTGTCACTGTCCGCTCTTTTTGGCTTTGGGAGACCCTTTTGTACTAACACACCTGTGTGGACAGATATATGGGTTGAGCCTGCCCATTGTTCCCTGGACTTCTTAGAACCTCTGAGGGAGCCCCCAGGACCCCAGCCACCCTGTCTGCCTCAGCTAAAAGACAAGACTCAAAGCTGCCTCCTCCTCTCTCTGTAGGATGTTTTGGAATCAAAGAACGCCACCATCAAGGACCTGCAGTATGAGCTGGCACGGGTCTGCAAGGTATGGCTGTGTCTTCATGCTCAGCCTGGGCTTGTCACATCCTACCTGGGATGGTCTTTGGGCTGCCACATGGCCCCAAGGTAACTCAGCCTGGCACATGGTCTGGGTTCTGCCTGACACCAGTGTGGGGCTGTGCCCTGAGCTGCATCCAAGACTGTCTTCCTCTTTGCTCTGCAGAGCTGAGTTGCAGAGGCTTTACCAAGAGCAACTGTTCCACAGTGTGGCCCAGTGACACCCTTCCTGTGGATGGACACTGCACCTTTGGACTGTTGTTTGAGGCTGTATCTAGATATTCCTCTCACTTTCTTGCTTGCTTTATTTATTTATTTATTGTATTTTTGAGACAGGGTCTCCCTGTGCAGTTCAGGTGGTCTTGGACTCACTTTGTAGTCCAAGCTGGTCTCGAACTTACAATGATCCTCTTGCCTCAGCCTCCCAAGTGCTGGGATTACAGGAGTGCACCACCACGCCTGGTCATCTGGTATTTTTAATGCAGTTCTGGGGTGTTGAACCCAGAGGTACTCTACCACTGAGCTATATTCCAAACCCTTTTTAAAAAAAAAATTAAAATTCTGAGATAAACTATAAGTTGCTGGGAATCCCCCTGGCGCAGCCTCCCAAGTAGCTAGGATTATAGTATTACACTGTGGGATGTAACTCAGCAGTATACCGCTTGCTTAGCATATGCAAACTGCTGGATTTTTGAGGTCCTAGTACCTCAAAAGCCCTGGATGCAGAAGACAGTGCCTGCGATAGCTCCTAGGATCCATGTTGCCAGTCATAGTGTCCCTCAGCCTTCCCTAAACTGCAGACTGGCTAACCTCTCCCTAGCCTTCTGTCTGCTCATCTCCCTTTCTCTTAGATGTTGATACTTTCCTGCATAAAATGAGAGCCATCTGCTATATGTACAGTTCTTCAGGGGCTATCTATGACTTTCATCTGAGTCTCAGGGGATCTGGACCTCAATAAAGGAGCAGAACCAGGGTCCCAAGTTCTGTTTAGAGCCTAACACTGTTCACAATTGTTCTGAGCCCTGGGGCTTTTTCTAACCATCTGAGGAATAGCCCTTTGAACACTGCTGTGAGTCAGGCCAGGCCACAAGCATCTCTTGGATTGCTCAGTTCACCAAATCTTTATAAATACCCAGGGAAATTGGCTTTTGTGGGAATGTACCTTTTTGGGCAGGGGGCAGAACCCCTGGCATGGTGGCTAAAAAGATACTTGTTTGCTGGCCCCACCAGTTGCCAGGCCTTGTCTCTTGGGGTGGCTGTTTGTGACCTCACCACCCTTTCCCAGGCAGCCCTGCACCTGTGAAGATAGAGTTTCTGGAATGTCAGAGGGTGCTATGCCCACCAGGGGTAGGGAAGGGACAGTGACCCTCCCTGATAAATGCCCCGGGAGGAGACAGGAGCCTTGGCCTTAGTACCCAAGTTCCCACATGTATAGGTGTTAACACTGGGCCAGTACTTGGGAAACCTCTAATAAACTGCTGGCTTTGTTCTTTTACACCATGCTGTTGGCTCCAACCCACCATGAACAGGAACTTAGCTCTGCATGAGCCAGAGCATGTTGGCCTCAGTATCAGGCCAGGTGAATTCCTTTCTCACTGACTCTTTCCTGTTTCCACAGGCCCACAATGACCTGCTGCGCACATATGAGGCAAAGCTGCTAGCCTTTGGGATCCCCTTGGACAATGTGGGCTTCAAGCCTCTGGAGACAGCTGTAATTGGGCAGACGCTGGGCCAGGGCCCTGCAGGACTCGTGGCTACACCAACGTAGCCACCAGGTTGTTACATGCAACGAAGCCTGCTGTTTTACGCCAAGGACAGAAAGTTTTTGTTTTTTAGAGTTCACCATCAGCAAATGAAGTTTTCCATGTTTTACTTATTTTTCTCTTTCCTGCCTCTGTGGAGGAGACCTGTTTGTAGAACCTCAACCCTGGCATCACAGTTGGCCCCTCCCTGGTTGTGTTGTGGCCATCCTCCTCTCCCAGCCTGCCCCTGACTTCAGTGGCTCCTCAGAGGACCCTTGGCCACTCTGGTCTAGGGTGTGTATTGTTCCTGGCTCAACACCAGCAGCAGCTTTGCAGATGCCAACACTGACTTTATTGACACTTGAGTCATGGCTACCCCCTGAGAAATTCCCAGGGGGCCAGGAAGGACCTCCTCTAGGAAGCTGGTGACCCTAGTGCTGCATAATGAGTAAGGAGTCTACTCCGTTGAGGGCTGGGTAGGCTCAGCAAGTGTGTGTATGGGGCAGATGGTCAACGCTAGCTTCCTTGGTATGTGGTGTAGGACCATGGGCTCAGCAGCAGGGGCACGTGGATCTCCTGAGTTTCATTTGTGATGGTAAAGACAACCTAAAAGAAGCAGAGAAGGTACGGGAAGACAGCGAGAGAACACAGTACCGAAGCTGTGCCTCACTGCTTCCTGGGAGCATTTAGCAGCCCAGACTGTAGGGTGGAGTCAGTTAGAGCCTGGTGGGGGACAGGAGCCCTCCCCAGATTTGAGGAATCATTATGCTTCCTTGGAGACAGTGCCAGGGAGGCTGTAGCCCCAGGCTTGTTGGATGTGAAAAAGGCCAGGTTCTGTGATAGTAGCTCCAGATGAGGGAAAGGTCCAGTGAGCTGCAGTCTTGGCTGAGATGCAAACTTGTCTACAAAGGAGGATGAATCATCCTTGAGCTGGCCTCCAAAGGCTAACCCAGGAGCAGCTCTGGCATGGGTATGTCATCATGATGCCTCTGATGCCTCTGATATCTAGACACTGATATGCCAATGATGCCTTTGATATCTAGACATTTTCTGAGAGTTCATAGCAGGTGAGCTCAACCTGCCTGCCACTACCCAGGATGAGGTGAGATCAGTCTGCCCATGGCCTGGATAAGGTTTGGCCTGCAGGACCTAACCAGTAGTCCCAGTGTCAGGGACCTCCACCCATCTGTTGCCTTTACCTCTACATATGGGTAGAAGCTGTCTTGTCCCATCTTCTTCCAGTAGCTCTCAGTGTTGAATGACAGCTTGTAGATGCCTGGCTTCATCTGGCCTGACCTCAGAAGGCCAGGGCAGTGGCCATCTGCATCTGTGTAGCTGGGGAGCAGACAAGACTGCAGAGATGGGAGGAAGAACTGGCCTAGCCCCCGCTTCCTACTCTGCACCCTGGATGCCCACACACTCCTCACAGCCTGATGCAGATGTGCAGATAAGGGGTACCATCTCCAAGGACACTGTTGTACTGATCGTTTAGGAAATCACAACCCAGAAAAGCCAGAAGGGAAAAATATCTTCCACAGTACACTCTGAGCAATAATCCCTATATTTTGCAATATACTTTTGTAGATTTTTCTTGATGTTTAAGTATATTTTAGAAACTTTTAAAATATAAAAAAATAGATTATATGAATTTTGTTGTTTTATAACCTGCTTTTTATTTTTTGAGAATTGCTATGTAGTTCAAGCTGGCTTCAAACTCAGAGCAGTTATCCTGCTTTAGCCTCCTGAGTGCTGGGATTACAGGTGTATGCTACCATGCCCAGCTCCATTACCTGCATTTGTTATATGGTTTATCAATCCTGGCTTTCTGGTCAGTAACTGTACTAAAGCCCCATCTCAATGGCTGCCACTTTCCAGCTGCATTGAGGAGCCAGGTGGGAGTGAAGTGATCCTTTGTCCAGGGTTCTGAAGTCCTGCACTTCTGGCATGTCACCTCTGGGAAAGCCCTGTGTCATTCTGACCGGCTGCTGCTTCACTGTGGTGAGAGGGCAAGGGAGGTACAAGTGCAGGACAGGGGGGTGTGAATGGTTCTCTTTGGCCCCCTGCTGCCTGGAGATGGGCCCTGGACCCTGGCCCCAGCTTCTGTGGAGGCTGAGTGGGGAAGGAGGGATCTGCACTCAAACCTTGGGCCTTTGTGCACACCTAAAATGGCGACTGTCCCATCCCTGTGTTCAGGCAAGGAAACTGCCCAAGTAGGAAGGAGGTAGGTTGTGAACCAGGCTTTGGGTTCCTGGACCTGGGGGAACAGTGGGCAGCAGCCCTCAGTGTTCCTGGGGAGACAGAAGGGGAACTGCTGGGGAAAGGGAGAAAATGCCTTGGTTTCCCTCCCTGCCCCAGTGCCTCCTACCTTTCCCTCAGCACTGTCCACTGCTGGTTGGGGTCCTCTAGCAGCATTTGTTGGAAAGGTCCTGGGCAGAGGCCCTGGGCCAGGAGCCCCGAGGTGGTATCCAGGACATGTGTGGTCAGTGGACTGCTTCTGGGCTCCATGCCACTGCTCTGACCTACTGACTACCTGGGGCCCGAGCACAGACCCCCTTCGGTCCTCTGCCCACACTGATATGACGGGGTCCACAGCCCAGCTGTCAGGGCACAGCTGGGGGAAGAGGGCAGTGGAAGCACCAGGTTTGTGAACAATGCACCCAGCCTGTTGTGTCTGGCCTGCCCTTGACCCTGCCGTCCAGCCAGCCTTCCCTGGTTGTGGGTCCCGTGGGAGCTTAACCCCCAGGTAACAGGGGACAGGAACCTTAAGGGTCAACCATGCCTTGCCTTAGCTGGAGCCTGGGTGACTCTGGAGTGTCAGCAGCTGCAGAACCTCCAGCTCAGAGGTTACTGGTCGAGTATATGACCACTCCCAGGGGCAGGGCCTGGGGCGGGGCCCGGTGGGTCCCTAAGCTCAGGGAAGGCATAGAAAGTGGCAGTTTTAAGAGAAGTTCCTAGGCAAGATATGTAAAGTTTCTAGTTTGACTAGTCTGCCAGGGCTCGGGACCTTGCCTCAGTTTCCTCACAAGTAGCACAGAGAGGCCAGGGTGGGCCTCCTGCCTCTCCACCGCCCCCTGCTCCAGCCTCACCCCATGCCTAAGGGTGGAAGGGCTGTGCTGTGTGTAAAGAGCAAAACAAGTGATGGCTTTGTGCAGGTTTGAATGCATCCCCAAATTAAAATTTTATAGGTAACATGCAGAGAACAGATTTTGGCTTTATTAGGTAACCATAATACACAAGGGAATTCTTTAACATCTGGCTCTCCTGTATTCAAAATCATGATGTTGGTTACTGGTTGTCTTGCTCTGGTGTATGGGTATTTTTATTCTCCTTGCAAAATTGTATTTCTAATTACTCCACAGTGAGCATGGATTATTTGTGGGGCAGGAATCTGTGCCCTTTAGGACAAGGGCAGGAGACCCAACAAAGGCTGGGAGTCCAGTGGAAACCAGTTAGGGTAATTAGGAAGTATCTAGCTGAGATCTGCATGCACCTTACTTCCAGAGACATTTGTGTTTATGTTGTCCAAAGCCTTTTGGTTCCAGAGACCAGAAACAACCAGCCAGACTGTCCTGCTGAGGACAGTTAAGGAAGCCATCCTTCTGGAAACATAATCTGTTGAAGAACTGTGTGTGGTAGGTGGTAAGCTCAAGCCAGCTGTGATGGTGCATACAAGTACCAGCCCAGTGTGGGCAATTTAGCAAGTTAGAATCTGTTCATAATGAAAAAAAATGGTAACAGGGCTGGGATGTAGACCAGTAGGAAGGCCTTAGGTTCACTACCCAGTATCTCCCACCAGAAAAAGTCGAAAGGCTGGTAATTTTTTTTTTTTTTTTTTTTGGTACCAGGGATCAAACTCATGACCTCATACTTGCCAGGCAAGCATTTATGCCACTGAGCTAAATCCCTGGCCCAAGGCTGATAAATTTATAGCTTCCATTAGATGAAAAAGTTCAGCCCACCTAAACCCACAATAACTTGCCATTGTTCAAAGGAAGAAACTGAGGCACAAAAGAATATTTCTGGGACTTCTGGGAGAACATGGCAGACATATAACAGCAGCCATGGAGGCTCTCTGAGATTACCAGTTTAGAATCCAGGAGTGGTGCCATGTGAGGAGTCCTACGTGAGGGGAGATGTACCCTGCCGACCCAGGAATGAACTAAGCTGAGACAAACCAACTGGAAATGCAATCCTGATGCTATCAGAGGAACAGATAAAATCTCAGTGCGGAAGCTGATTCCGCGCCATTGGAAGCCGCGATTTGAATTTCCTGCTGTCAACACTGCGTCCCAATCCGCACGGCAGGGAGAGAGATGTGCGAAAGCTCTGAGAGCTGGAATCGGTGAACCAAACGGCGTTGAGAGCGAGACTGGCAGGTAGCCCTGCATCGACCTGCGGTGAGTGAAAGAAATGGGGACCCTTTCATAGACTAGGAGTCTCCAACAGAGGACATTCTGGAAACAGACAGACTAGCCGGAAGAGGGCCCTGCAGTGACTTTAGTCGCATGTTCCCCTCTCAAGCGGGAGTGGTGGGGAGGGCTTGGCCTGGTGACGCCGAGGACTAAGATCCAGTAGGCTAGCCCAAATCAGGTCCCTGCGCCTGGCGGTGCACCCTAGCAGTGAAGCACTCAGTGGGTTCACCTGGAGGGGCAGGCCTAGCAGAGGGTGCCCAGGTCTGTGTCTCCCTAGTACACTGCAGTGGGCGGGAACACCTAGCCGGTGGATTCAAACAAACTGTAACAGACGAAGAGAAAAAAAAAAAAAAAAAAAAAAAAAACCAAAACTGGGCCTCCTACATATGCTTGTATGGAAGGGACAAAGAGTATGGTAAAAGGGAGCAACAAGAAAGGGTCCTCAGTCCCTAATCCTGAGAATACTGATCCAGGAAAGGTAAATGCAAAAGAGAATGAAGACAAAACATGCAATATCAGACACGGCACCTATAGACATAAAGCAGTATCTCGGGCGCCTCATAGACGAGTTCAAAAATGAAGTATTTAATGAAATAAAGCAAGAAATAAGTAGAATAGTTAGAGAAATGCTAAGCACCGCCCAAGAAAAAACAGATGGTGGAATGGAAGAACAGAAAAAAAGGGGAGAATTGTTTGATGGAGAAAATAGAGAAAACATAGAATATGTGAAGCAGGTTCAAAGAGATTACCAGGAAACTAAAAACTCTATTGAAAGCTGGCATAACAGCTTGAAAGAAACTAAGGATAGATTATCAGAACTCGAGGACAGATTTGTAAGGTGGGAGCATGAAATGAAAAACTTCTTAAAAATAACAAGAAGACAAACAGCAATAATACGAAGACTAGAAGATGATAAGAGGATCTATAACTTAGGAACATAAAAGAAGAAGTAGGGACTCAAACAAATGAACTTCAAAAGCTATTCACAGAAATAATCCAGGAGAATTTCCCTAATTTAGCAAAAGGTAAAGATACTCAGATGTATGAGGCATACAGGACCCCAGCCACTACAACCCAAACAGAGCTACACCCAGGCATATAGTAATCAAAATTCCAAAAATCCAATATAAGAACAGAATATTAAAAGCCGTCAAAGACAAGAAACAGATCACTTACAAGGGAAGACCCATCAGAATTACAGCAGACTTCTCGGCACAAACCATCAAATACGAAGAGCGTGGGGGGAAATAATTCAAGCTTTGAAAGATAATAACCTCCAGCAAAGATTGATATATCCTGCACAACTGTCCCTAGAAGTTGATGGAAAAACAAGGTGCTTCCAGGATAAAGAGGAACTAGGGGAATTTGCAACCACCAATTCAACTCTATAGAGATTACTGCAGGATATTCTAAAAATGAAAAATACCAAGATTCCAGAAATAGTGGCAGAGTGGCCACAATGAATGGAGCAGAAAGCAAAATGAAGAGGACAAACTGACAAGTAATGACAGAAAAAGAGCTCAACAGAAATGAGGCAGAGTAGGTTGGATGGTAGGAACAGCTATTTTGGAGAAAACAAGACATCATAATAGGTAGTGCTGATTTAATATCCTCTTGTTTTAAAGTCCCATCAAGCTTTTGTTCTTCTGTCTCCATCGGTTTTAACATGTTGTATCTTATTGGATTTTATTACAGGTGATAATATAAACAAAAACTTTTATAGACAAGGAGATTATACAGAAACCATTGTTCATTTTCTGTTAGTTGATTCTAAATACTCTGTAATACTGTCATTCTCTTGAACGGTTTTACATTGTCTTGATATGTTTGATGCTACAGTATACGAAGTTATACCCAAAGATTTTAAGGGTAGAGACACTATGGTAACTACTATTATGTTGAGATTATCTTGTGGTGAAACACTATTTTGCTTAAATGGCTATGTTTTGACCTGTGCTGTTTTGCTGTTATGCCTTCTTTTTTAAATCTCAATCTCCTTTTTATTATCTACTTTTTCATTTTTATCCTTTTAATTAAGGGAAAAATAAATAAAAAATAGGATATTATAGTAACCCACTTTGATTTCCTATTAACTTGATTTGAAACCCTGTATTGCTCTCACCATCTTGTTTTGACTGATTTTCCTCTATTCTGTTATGCTTGATAGTGCCAAGTTTGAAAGTATAGGCAACAACTATGACGACAATAAGATTTATTATGACGCCCATTCTGGTTGACTATTATCTTCTTTTGAAGTCCTCTAATGTCTCCAATGTTTTGGTTTTATTGGTCTTATTCCTTACTGTTTTGTTCAATTTTAGTATAACTGATGATATAGGCAATTCTTTTTAAGATAACAAGAGGCATTATGGTACCCATTGTTGATCACCTTGTATTTTGTTTTTACATTATGTATTATGTGCATCCTTTTGATTTGACTGATTCTGTCCTGGTATGTCACATTTGGTTTTACTTTCTTCAAAAAAAAAAAAAAGTAATAAGAACTGTGGGAGTAATAAAACCCAAAATGTGTAATTGTCATTGTACAAAAGAAAGGAAAAGAAAGTTCTCTAAAAGGTATAACTGCATATATATTTAAGTGTATAGGATAGATAACCATATTACTGAGTTTTATTGGATCATTGAACAAAACTGTTTGCAGTCTCACTGTTTGAAAGTCCCCTCTATATGCTTTAATTTTGTAACTTCAACAACTATTTCTAAGATGACAATATGTAATTAACTAGTGATTTCCTACTGTTTATTTTTTCTAAAATTCTGTATAAGTTTTACCCTTTTTTGTTTTTCTTTTTTCTCCTTAAAAAAAAAAAAGAGTATTTCTGGTATGATACACTAAAAACTAGCCATCACCTAAGATAAGCATTTTTGGACAAAGATATTTTTTTTCCTGTTTAACTTTTTGTGCTTTTGGAATTTTTTTTTTATTTTAAAGAGAATAAAACAAAACAGAACAAAGCATATCAGAACAAAACAGTGCAAGCAATACAGGATTTCAAAACAAGACAATAGGAAATCAACAGTGGGTACCATGTTTCTTGTTTTCTTTGAAATAGTTGTCCATGTCTTCCCACACAATGAATTCAAGCAAGACAAAATGGTATAAAACTGATAAAAACAAAAGAATGAAAGCATTATCAGTATTTAAAACCAGACAGTCGGAAAATCAACAATGGATTTCAGAATCTCTTGTTCTCTTCAAAATAGCTGCCCAGGTTTTCACACAGATTGAAATTAAATAATACAAAACAGACTAAAACCAATCAAAACAAACAATAAAAGCATTCCTGGACTTCACAACAAGATGCCAGGAAATGAGCAATGGCTACCATAATGTCTCATTTTCTTCAAAGTAGCTGCTTGTACCATCATGTAATAAATTCAATTCTTGTAAACTCTAGACGTTTTAGGCATGTACAAGCCTGTACATGTACATCTGTCCTTTCTGTATTAAAGGGAAAAACAAAAACAAAACAAAAACAAAAACAAAAAAAAGGGAGAGAAAAGCAAGAAACCAAAGAGTCAAATAAATAACAATAACAAAGAGAAACAGGAACTATATAGTAACAATACAGGCTTTCAAAACAAGTTGATGGGAATATCACCAAAGTTATTTTGCATAGTAATCTTCAAGAGAGTGAGTCACATTACCAGATAAAAACATGCAAAAATGGATTTAATCCTATGAATCTGAACTGTTTTCTTCCAAGAATTAACAGAATTAGTAGCACAATCATCTTAGCGATCTAAAGAATGCATATACAAATTTATATCATTTTTCTTTTCCCTTCCTACTTTTCTCTGTTTCCTTGACTTATTTCTTCTCCTTTGAGCAGTTTCTTACCCTTTCACAATGTTTACTGACGATTTTGTATCTTATTTACTCTTTCAGTTTGTTATACCAGGGAGACGATATGGTATGTACACATGTGAGTTTGATTTATTTACTTACGAGTATGGTCTCAAGTTGCATCCATTTACCTATAAAAGCCACTGAATGATCCTTCTTTATGGCTGAGTAGTACTCCATTGAATAAAAATACCACATCTTTTTTATCCATTCCTCAATTGATGGACATTTGGGTTGTTTTCAAGATTTGGCTATTACAGATTATGTCACTATAAATATGGGTACACTTTTGGAAAATTTTAACATGGGCATTTATCACTTTTTCCAGAAATCTCAAATACTATAAATGAACCAGGTAAAAGAACAGTCAAAGGTTTTTTTGTGAGTGCTGTTTACCCATACTCCCCTCCCCTAGACCTGACTGCTTGGGGGGGGGGTGTGGCAGGATGGAAGTAGTGTCTGTGGTCCTCCTGGGACCTCTTGTATGCACCTCCACAGTAAAGCACTGCAGTGTTCCCTTCCCAGGATCCCAAGACTCTCGGCTGTGGCAGGCAGTGTGAGAGAGGTCCTCTGTGAGTACAAGGTCCTCACTGGATACTGTGAGCTTTGGAGATGTCCCTAATGAGAGGATAACCAGGTCCTCCATGACAGGGCCCTTTTGACAACTTCAGGCAAATTTGAAAAAGATGCCTCACACTGCCCCTTACCATGACATCCTCCAGTTCCACCAACTTTCCTGAAGAAAACAGTATCTTAATCTACCTTTTGGCTTAGTAATACCCCATGTAGTATACATATCATTTAAAAAAACCATTCACCTATTAATGGTCACCTCTGCTGGTTCCATATCTTAGCTATTGTGAATAGGAACTGCATCCACTTGTGAAGGGGTCAGAACCCCTGAGTATGTGCACCTCATTATGTAGCATCTTTCTCTCTCTCTTCTCCCCTTCCTCCTTTCCTTATAGTTTTTCTGAGATAGGATCTTCCTTTGTATTCAGACTGGCCTTGCATTTGTAGTGATCCTCCCTCCTCAGCCTCCCAAGTGAGAGGCTTACAGGTATGGATCATGCCCAATGGAAAAAAAATACTAGTTTTAAATAGATTGACATACTGTTTCTGAGGTTTATGTAAATATATCAACTGGACCCTTTTATAGGAAATCAAATAGAATTTTATCCCTTAGGTATAAGTAAAGGCACATGTTTAGTATATTTTTAAAACTATAGCCAGGGATTTAGCTTGGTGGCATAAGCACCTGCCTTTGCAAGTGTGAGATCACGAGTTCGATCCCTGGTACCAAACCCTCCCCCCAAAAAACCCCCAAAATATAATACTATGTGCAATACAAGTATCAAAATAAAATTTGGTGGTTGAAAATTACCCTCCTTGAAATTGCAAACAAAATATATTTACTGCATTAGCCAGAAGTTGGCACTCCAGCATCAAGTCCACAAAGACTTAATATAAATAAAATCTTCAGTGTGATGGTATTTAGTGTTTAGGAAAATCAAACAAGTTTTTCCTTCTGTGGAGAGAACAAAATTTTTAAGTGTCTGAAACTTGATATTTAAAATCAAGATAGGAAATTAAGTTAAATGATGCCCAGATTTTCATGTTAAAATGGTGTTTTGTAGTCAGAATTTCTTTAAATATTACAAATAATCAGTTAGGAAAGTGGACTGGAGAATCAGCAAAGTGTTGCCTCACATTTCAGAGATTCCTGTTACCGATTGCCCCGTGAGTGGACCGTTTCCCGCTGGTAGCATTTCCTCAGGCGGTCTTGGGAACACTAGGGACGCTGTCCTTGCCCATCCACTGCGTCTGTTCCACCAGGTTCTCCTTCCTGTCTGTCTTCTCCACTGCTGTGTCTGTCCCATGACAGCACTGTGCCCTGTGTGTTAAATGTTAGCAAATTATGCAGAAGCAGTGAATGAGGCCCACAAATAATTCACAAAGGGATGCAGAGAATATTTATTTGGCAAGGTCAAAGGGAGATGGTCATTGGTCATATATTTTATTTGCTATACTCTATGTGGCTTGTACATCTCCAAAGAGTAGGCACCATGTGCATTTGATATAAAAATTCAGATGAGATAAATAAACATGAAGATTGACCAAGGCCACATAGTGACACATAGGACCAATGCACACATTCACCAGTGATGAAAGGGATGGGCAGCCATTGCTGGCCACATACTGGATGAGGTCCCGGTTCTGCCTTCCCTGTGAATGAGTCCTGACTTTTCTTGGACTCAGCAGTCTTGTCACAAGTTTGTAATTCTGATCCCCACCATCTCATTCCTATGGGAGCTTGATATCTGCTCCCCTTCAGTTTCGAATTTGTCTAATTTTCTGTTCTCCTTTTCATCCCAGCTTGAGAAGGAAGGAAGGCCTGCAGTGGAGCAGAGCATGGCTCTGCAGGGATGGGCCTTGGAAAGCACTGCCAGTGTTAAATGGAAAACACAGTTCTGCTGCTACTGGAACTGGTGGAAAATGATCCCAGGCGAAGCCAAGGCCCAGGAGACAGGGCTGCCATTGGGCAAGGCCTCACAATCTGTCCAGGCCCCTGACATCCCCTAAAATGTGTCCTGATCTACCTGGGAGGATCAAGGGAAAATACAAAATTGCTCAGCATCTGTGTGAGTAAGCCCTGTGAGGAGAGCAGCATGAGTTGGGTGAGCCACCATACCCCCCGGGAGAGGAGATTCAACCTCAAACCACCCTGCCTTCCTCCACTTGATCAGTGAAGCTGAGAGGGAGGGAGAGACAGATACGTTGTCTGTGGACCTAAAGTCAATGTCAAATCTGAGCTAAATCTCATTTCCGATGAAATGTCTGTATTTATTTTTTTTCTGTGGTTCTTGCTGTTCAAAGACTCCATGATTTTACTGTTTGGGGCCACTGTCTCACTCATTCACTCTGCCGGACTCTGAAACATGTCTATTTGTCCTTCTGTCTTACTGGTCATCACTGATGGATGCCATCTCCTTTGAGCCCCATATGTATTTAACTAGTGTCTGACCCACATATGACTCAAGAGAGCGAGCCCCACATTTCTGTAACTAGTGGCTGTCCCATATCTGACTCAGCAGAGCAGAAAATTACTCAGGATATGAGTCCTCCTCCCATGGGCAAAACATAAAGAGGAGTACCCTCCACACACATACATGCACACATGGGGCAAAAAGCCATGCACTCGCTCACGCACTTGACCAAAGAAGCTGGAGACCAACATGTGTATCTGTCTGCCAATCAAAATGCAATGTCAGATTCGAGTTGGCCAAATCATTCCTGATGGTATGTCTGTCTCTCTGTGTTTTTGGCAGTTCTGTGTTCCAAAGCTTTGTGAAATTTTGAAAATCACTTAGGGAAAAAAGGTCTGAATTCCCATGATCTTCACCTTCACCCTAACAACACACACACAGGTCCTATTCTCCAGCCTCACACTAAAAACACACACAACCTCTGTTCCCCACCCTCAAGCTAAAAACACACACAAGCCCTGTTCCCCACCCTCACTCTAACACACACACACACACACACACACACACACACACACACACACACCCTGTTCCCCAACCTTATTGTAAAAATGCAAACACATGCCCTGTTCCTCAGCCTAACAAACACATGCCACCCCCAAATCAGTCTAAGATTCTCTCTCAATATTTCCTGATGGGATGCTTGTCTATCTGTGCTTTTTGGGAAATTCTGGGTTCAAAAGCTTTGTGAAACATGGAAGATCCACACTCAGGAAGGGAGGGTCTAAGTCCCATGAAAAAGCAGTATGAGCCTTAACTGCACACAGGAAAGAAAAATCAACCCACTCGCTCCACCACAGAAATAGGTGACAAATGGGTGGGAGGGTACGTGTCTGTCTGCTGAGCCAAAAATCAGTATCAGACTCCAGCTAAAACTTTCCTAGCAGGAATTCTTTCCTTTTTGTGCTTTGCTATCTGCTCAAAATATTTGTGATTTTTTTTTCTTTTCTTGATTCGGGGCCAGTCACTCTCTGAGACTTTGAAACAAGGGAACCACAAGAGTGGTGGTAGCCCAACTCAGCTCAGTTCAGCTCAGCTGAGTGGACTCTGCATGCATCCAACTGGCTGCTCAGATTCCCCTGTCTGTCGGTCATACACGAAGCCACTCCAGCACCTTTGCCTGTTTTCCCTCTCTGGCCCATGTTGTAGCTTGGCATAACTGATGCCATCTATCTTGAGCCCTACATTTCATGTCATGAGTGCCCTGTCTTTGACACAGGAAAATGGAAAATTACTCAGGGTATAAGTCCCACGAGCAAAGCAGAATGAGCTGTAGGATCTACAGAATGAGAAAAATTAAAACCTGCTCTACCAAAGAAGTAGGATATAGGTGTCAGTCAACTGAAAATGAATGAAAGATCTGAACTAAATTGTTTCCAAGAGGATGTCTTTTGTGATTCTCTCTTTTAAAAACTGTCACTTTCCAGTTTGGGGCCACTTGTTTGGATCCTTGGCCCAGTGGTGGTTGGTATCTGTATATGAGTGAGTAGTCCTGAGCTCAGTTAATTAAATTCTGACTTTATTAATGTGGCTGCTTGGATTTCTATATTGTTCATGAACCCCCTACCTTAGTCTCTGCTTTCTTTCAAGTCCTTTGCCTCTTTTCTCTCTCTCTCTCTCCCTCTCCCTCTCTCTCCCTCCCCCCCTCTCTCTCTCTCTCTCTCTCTCTCTCTCTCTCTCTCTCTCTCTCTCTCTCGCTCTCTCTCTGGGTGGTTGTCCTTTCTTTTTGTGTGTCTATTGAATAGAAATTCAATGAATGCCACATTGTACCAAAATCATTTCTGGGTGGAAGGAAGTCTTCCTTTTCTGCGCTTGTTTTGTCTGAAATCTTTGCAATTTTCAGATTAGGGTCAGCCACTCTGTGAGACTCTGAAATGAAGGGGTCCACATAAGCTGTGGTTGCCCAGCTCAGCTCAGCTCAACTCAGCTCAGCTCAGCTCATCTCAGCTTAGCTCACTAAAGTCCAAATGTATCTATCCACCAATTGGCCTCCAGTTGGACTCCTATATCATTCACGAGCCCACTTTAGTTGCATTTGTCTCTTTTCACTCTCATTCTCTCTGTCTCTGCTGTCCTCAGGACCCTTTGCCAGTTTTTGATTCTTTCTCTGCTTTTGTACTAAGGAATGGGGTCATTGTTGTAACCAGACCTGACCACATTTTTGAGAGACAGGC